ATCTATCTATCTATCTATCTATCTATCTATCTATCTATCTATCTATCATGATCCAGGCATCCTGTTACATAGCTCTCAAGGTTTGCCACCTTTGCAAAAAATAAAAAATAAAAATTTCCCCACTCAGCTATTAGTTCCAAAGCTTGCAAAGCGACTGCCCCCATCCCGCATCCAGGCCTGCCACACCCCGCCCCCGAGATTAGAATGGCCCCCCACTCTAGCCCTCTTCCGGAAGGCCCGGAAGGCCTGAAGGTTCTGCCAGCGGGCCTGGGAAACCCAGAGAGGGATGGGGCCCATCGAACCATCCGATGGCTAGAGTGACCTGCTGTAGTGGGGGCGGGAAGTGGGAGTTGGGGTTTTTTCCCCCAAATTTTGTTCTATTGTACTTTACTAATTTATTTGATTCTTTTTTGTTAGTTTGTATTGGTTTTTTTAAAAATATAGTTTTACATTGTGTAAGCTGCCTCAAGTCACCATAGGCAAATAGGTGGCAATATAAATTAAACAAACAAACAAACAAACAAATGAATAATCTCTCCCTGATTAGTTCTCCTCCATTCTGGGCATCCAAGTCTACCTTGCCCTCCTGTTCGCGCAGTTCCGACACTTCGGTCTGCATGTAGAACTTCACTCGGTTGTTTTCAAACATCTGTCCGAGGGGAGAAGAAGGGGAGAGAAGGTCGAAAAACATTCCCCTCAGAAGAAGGCCCGACCCCTCCCCAAACCTGCCCCCTCCAGGCAGCTGCCTTGCCTTCATGATGGCTCGCCCAACCTTCTCTCCAAAAGATTTCCTGAAGGGCACTTCTTCCAGCTCCACCACCGAGACCGAGTGAGCCTTCTCCGAAAGGTAGGCAGCCACCTCCATCCCTGCAGAATGCCAGAGGGGGCAGGAGGGTTAGGAAGACACTGCGAGAAAGACCCCGGACAAGCAGAGAGCCTGCAGGTTTGGTGCCGCACAAAGGCAGAGGTTCTGGCTGCTGAAATGGGTCAAGTTGGGTGAAACGAGGAAAAACAACAACAGCTAAAAACAGAAACCTCTCCATCTTGGACGCAGAGTTTAATTTTCAAGACATATTTAGCCTGTGTTCACACACTGTACTAAACCATGGTTCCTGGGACCATAATTAAGCACACGCTTAGTCCAAACAACTCATTTTATTTCAACGCTGGGAATTATGTTCATTCCCAGCCTGTAATGAGTCCCAAACAGTCCCTCAAGATAAGCACCCACCTTTCTCTCCTTTGAATGGCTGCCAATAAGTAAAATGCCAAATGAACTATAAAAAAATCAACCGAAGTACAAAGTCCGCACAGAGCTTCAAGGATTTATCTGAACAGAGCAAATGACTTTGCTTCCTGCAAAGGTTTCTCTACCTTTGCACTTCCTTTACACCTTAGGGGAGGGGCAATCACCTCCCAGCCTTACTCCCGAGTCGCCCCTTTTGTCTTAGGTGCTCTTCTAGCAGCCCTGCGCACATGTGCACTGGGAACAGGCTCCCCTGGGTCCTCTGCCTCGTTGCTGCCAGACTCCGGAGGCTCCAAAGGCAGCACCCCATTCCCAGATGGTCCTGGCCCCATCTCTGCATCAGACGCAGGACCCTCATCTGAGTCCTCCCCAGACTTCTGGATTGGCCCATGTTCCTCCCCACTGTCCGACTCTGCTGCTGTCTGCACAGGCTGCTGGTGGACCACAACACATGGTTTCCTTAATCATGATTTGTACAATCAACTACAAGCAGCAGGATCTGCTTTGCATGCCATCAACCATAGATACCATGTTTCCCCAAAAATAGCACTGGGTCTTATATCTTTTTTGGAACAAAAGACCCATTAGGTCTTATTTTCGGGGATGTCTTATTTTGCAGATGACCATTTGCCCCCCCCAACCTTCTGCTTGCCCGTGGCTGCGACGACGTACAGGGCTTACCAGGGCAGGTGCACTTTTTGCCCAGATGGAGAAATGACAGAGACTCAAAGCTTTTCCTGCTTGCAAATGGGGCACTTTGAAATGCAGCAATTAGCAATTAGGGCTTATTTTCAGGGAAACGTGGTAGTAAACCATGCTACTGCATGCTAAGCTCAGATTAAACAAACCCCATTATGAATCAGCTGAGCTTCCGAGGCTGTATATGCAGCAGCCTTCGCTCACCAAGGAAAGAGGCTCCCACCACCACGGCATTTTTGCCAGTGGCCACTTTGACCACCCTGTTGGCATCTTCCACAGCACGGATGGTGAAGACATTCTCCACTTCCTTGCCTTTGCAGCTGAGTGTTTTGGGTCTGGAAAGAGAGATTGGAAAGGTCAGGCCGAGGCATCCTCTAAAGCAGCGGTCTCCAACCTTAGCAATTTTAAGACTTGTGGACTTTAACTCCCAGATTTCTTTTGGCTTCATGCAAGGAAAGCAGCAGAAGCATCAGAAGTTTTTCTTTCTCTCCCTCAAACTCTGCCAGAAACGAGTCTTTGTGAGACTTGTGGCGCCGGCGCATCCTCTTGGAGCAGGAGGCCTTGCAGGGTCCCAAAGACTCATTTCTGGCAGAGGTTGGGGGAGAGAAAGAAAGACTTCTGCTGCTTTCCTTGCATGCAGCCAAAAGCAGAAGGAGAAAGAAGTGGAAAGAAGCAGCCCAGTGGCCAGGCCAGGCGCGTGGGGTGAGTGGGGCAAGTTCCTCCCCCCTCCGCCCTTTTTCCCCTCCCCTCACTACCTTGTGTGGTTTGCAATGCAAGCGACGCAAGCCTTGTGTTCCCGCAGGGTCTCTGGGTGGTGCAGACTTGTGTTCCCACGCAGCCTGGATTAATTGCTTTGGGGGTGACATTTCTCTGCAGACCACCAGTGGTTCCTGGCCCACTGGTTGGCAACCACTGTATTAGGGAAATCTTCTCAGATTTTGCATCCAGGCCAGACTAGAGAAGGTTCAATGGTATTCAATGGGGAACAGAACTTGCCCTCTTGTGATTACGTAAAGATTCCAGGCTAATTCCCCACTTGACTCCTCCCCCTGGCTCAGCCAGTCTCTGACAAATTTGGGGTGCAAAAAATCCTCCAGCCTAAAAAAGAAGACCTCAACACTTGGTGTAAAACCTTCTAGGGGCCACTTACGTGTTTCCTGTTGCCAGCAGCAACTTATTGTACTCCATCTTAAAGCCATCCTTGAAAATAGCCGTCTTGTTCTTGACATCCACTGCTGCCACCTGAAACAGTATGGACAGATCCGTAACAGTAATTTCTTAGCTGTTCTTTTTTTTCCTATCAGAGCAACACACAGCTACAGACTTGTTATGGCTTGTTGGCTGCCAGTCCCTTCAGCAGCTGAATCAGAGGAGGAGGAGGAGGCCTGGGAGTCAGGGTCAGCATCCAGGCAACCCGAGAGGTCTGAGGGGAAAGAGGGAATGGAGTTGGCAGGCAGAGAGAGAGAGGTGGAGCCTGGGCCGGCCGTCAGGCCTCAAATCGAGAATCAACAGCCTGCAGGTCTGGAGGTGGCTGATAAGGAAGAGGAGGAAGAGCCGGGTCCAGTGCCTGACGCATGGATGCGCAGAAGGCAGAGGAGAGGAGAGCAGTGGAAATCTATGGGCCGGTCCTTGGGACGGAAGAGCCACTGCTGCTAGCAAAGACCCCCTCTAGCTCTGGGGATCAAAGGCAGGGGACGGAGATGAAAAGGTGTAGCAGACAACCATTCCTCTCCCTGCCGGACGGACTTATTAGCCTGCGTTGAGAGAGGAACTTTTTGCCGGGGCTGCTGGCGCTCTTAATAAAGGGATCTTTGAGTTAACTTCAGGGGGTTGTCGTGTTTGGGGAGCTGGGTCAGAACAAGAGTCCACACTGGGGACAGGCTTCAAGGATCCAACTGCATCCATCCTGCCCATTTTAGGAGATGAAACCAGGCCAGGTGATGTGACCTCCCTCCATAGGCACCAGGTTTGGTAAAGCAGTTCTCGAAAGGGTGGGTTAAATCAAACCACCTCTGGATTAATAACAAAGTCCATTTTTGAGTGCACGTGGCTCATAGACTCTCCCTTCACACATCCCTCAAAGAGGGCCAGGCCTTCTTTGAAACTCCTCTCCCCCCCACACACACTCACAGGCAGACCCTCACCTGCATTTCAGTCAGGACCTCAATGTCGTTTGTGCGGAAGAATTCTTTCGGACGCAGAGCAATCTGGTCAGCGTGGGAATCCATTGACTGAAAGCAGAAGTCAATTCCGTTCTTAGTAAAAGTAAAGGTTCCCTTTGCACGTCTGTGCTAGTCGTTTCCGGCTCTAGGGAGCGGTGATCATCTCCATTACAAAGCCAAAGAAGAGCCAGCACTGGCCAAAGATGTCTCCGGGGTCATGTAGCCGGCATAACTAAATGCTGAAGGCGCACAGAATGCTGTTCCCTTCCCACCAAAGAGGTCCCTATTTTTCTACTTGCATTTTTTACATGCTTTCGAACTACTTAGTTGGCAGAAGCTGGGACCAGTAACGGGAGCTCACTCCATTACGCTGTGCTAGAGATTCAAACCGCTAAACTGCTGACCTTTCAAGCTCAACGTCTTAGCCACGGAGCCACCACATCCCTTCAATTCTATTCCTAGATGACTTCCGGTGGCGTTTCCATCAAAGACGGATCAGAGACCGCAATCATGTGCGGCTTTGATCCATGTTTACCTTGTTGGAAGGGTCCCTGTAGGACCGAAACCATCTGACTCACCTTGGATGGGTGGGGGAAGAGGGGGAGATCGCCAGCTGGGTTGAGGGGAGCCACATCTCCCCTCCCTGGCTAGGTATTAACTCCCCTGGAAGACAGGGAAAAATGGCAGTTTAATGGCTGCCCTGAAGATGGAAAGCTGCCAGGACCTAAGTATGCGCTGGAGCAGTGAAGTGATGAGCGACATGTAACCAGAATAAAGAACCTGAATTTTTTTTAAATAACCCCACAAAGCAGAAAGAAAGAGCCCTTGCTTAAGAGTATGACAGCAGCAAATGGAAAATAAGAGGAAAATATAAAGTAAACAAAATTGGATAAAAAAAGGTGCAACTAAATTAGAGATTAAATTTGGGAACAATACATATAATTTGGCATCAATTAGGCATTGGACAAAATGCTGGACTTGCCTGGAATTGACTATATTTAAGAAAGCTAATAGTGGAAATGGTTGAAAATTAACGTTAATATAATTGAAAAGAGAAAAGAAATGTTAGGCATCCCGAAATTATGCGTAGTAATCGATCCCTCCAAGACAAGCATAATCTCCAACTGATTTATTAGGAACAGCTCTGGTACGTCTATGGGAATTTCCAAAACTGAAACTCATTCCCAGTTTGTCTCATAAAGTCCACCCTATCTCCTCCCACTTACTACACTTCATAAATCATGAAAACCAATTCACTGCAGCTGGAATTTTTTAAGGTGACATATTAAATAACCTTGAACTGTTCAACTCCTTCACCCCCCCCCCTTCATTGTTCACATATATTCTTGTGGCAGCTGAATCTCAGTGCTGACAAGAACTTTAAAAAGTAGAAAGTGATGTAGAGTGCCACCTAATGGTTAAAGACTTTTTTCCTTCATGATTTTATGGAAAATCACTGGTCGTATAATTGCTATGAGGTAAAAGAATAATAAAAGAACAAGAACCCCAGAAACTTAAAAGCGGGGGAAGAAATTGTAGTAAGAGGATAAACGAAGGCAATATTCTGGGACTTTGGGGTGTTGATTGTAATAAAGAGGCAGAAGGATTAATAAGGGCAATAGAGACAAAAGGAGACTTTTGGCAAGGATCGCAACTGAAGACTTTGAATTTTAATAACTCAACTGATTTTTTAAAAAAATGGAAGAAATAAGCAAAGACTTTAAGTCGGAATTGCAAACTGTAAGAGGAATGCTGAAAGAAAGAAGGGGATTATTGGACATACCGGCAAAAACAATCATGGCGATGCAGCCCGTAGAAGAACAAAGAAATCTCAGAGAGGAGGAGTTAAAGGGAGAGGAAAGTGACTCAGATGAACATGAAGAACAAGAGATATCGCCAAAAGACATTAAAGGAACTAAAACTATGACATTGATGACAGAGTTAATAAATAAAAGAGAAAACGCTCCCAGGATTAAACACAAGAAGAAGAAATTCTACAAGAAGAAACTTCAAAAAAGAGAAAGGGTGGGGGAGAAGATTGGTGACTGGCAGATGGAAATAAAAAGGAAAGATCGGGAAAACTTAGAAAAGGGAAAACTAGCTAAAACCAAGAGAAATGACAAGGTCAAGAGATTTAGAGATAAGGGTTACATAGGATAAAAAAGGGCGATGCCACATGGGAATGTATTTGGGTATTTTTTTATTAGAAACTTAAAATGGGGAGATTTGAAATTCAAAATGTATTGGGAATTATCCTAAGAGTATTATATAACTATATAAGAGAAAAGTGAAGATGAACTAAGAGATGTCAAGAGGGTTTTATTATTATTAATCTATGTATGTATGTATGTATGTATGTGTGTGTGTGTATGTATTTATATATGTATTTATATATGTGTGTGTTTTCTTAAGTTTTCGTGGGTATTTATATGAATGGTATTCAGCTTTCATTATAGTTGTGCTTTTAAAGTTGTAGCAATGTTTCGGCAGAATCTCATCTGCCTTCATCAAGCTTCTGTATTGGGTTCATCCTGATTGGTTGGAAGTCTTGGTCTGTGTTTATTGGACCAAGACTCTCAACCAATCAGGATGAAGAAAAAACCATTCTGGCACAGCGTAGGCTAGCACCAAATTTAAAACAGAAACAGATGTGAACTTCCGGTTTGAGCAACAGACCGAAACCTTGTCTCTGTGAGGCTTTGATCCGTGCTCACCGCTGGAGCGCCCCGAGCCATCTGGTTTCGGGGCTAAGCCACCCCATAGAGGTGGTGAAGATGGGGGAGACTGCCAGCAGGGTTGAGGAGAGCCGCATCTCTCCTCCCCAGCTGGCCATTACTCCCTTTCCCAAAGGCGGTTGCAGCGATGGTCAGAAATGGCCACCACAAAGAAGAACTCGACCGGAAAAGAATGTGCAGGAGGAAGATAAGAAGAGAAAGTTTTGGTTGAC